ATATATATATTTGATTTTTTACAGAGAGGAAAGGGATAGAGAGTCAGAAACATCGATGAGAGAGAAACATCGATCAGCCGCCTCCTGCACATCTCCTACTGGGAATGCGCCCACAACCAAGATACATGTCCTTGACCAGAATCGAACCTGGGACCCTTCAGTCCGCAGGCCGACGCTCTATCCACTGAGCCAAACCGGTTAGGGCAATTACTTCTTTTTATGTGACTCAATTTGACTGGGAGAGGACTGGGATATTGTCTGTGTAGATTTTTTTTAAATGTATTTTTTATTGATTTTTTACAGAGAGGAAGGGAGAGGGATAGAGAGCTAAAAACATCAATGAGAGAGAAACATCCATCAGCTGCCTCCTGCACACTCCCCACTGGGGATGTGCCCACAACCAAGGTACATGCCCTTGACTGGAATCGAACCTGGGACCCTTGAGTCCGCAGGCCGACGCTTTATCCACTGAGCCAAACCGGTCAGGCTGTAGATATTTAATAAATGTCTGTTTAATGAATGAATGAGTGGATGAATGATGGGATTAGCCAATCTTTTGTGCTTGCCAAATCCAAGTCTAACTGGCTGGAATCTCTAGCAAAGAAGAGAAAGAACTAAGAACTAAATCACTTCACATCTCTTTCTCCCACTCAGTCCCTGAAAAGACAGACAGCCTTAAAAGTTCTGGTCTGGAGTAGGAAGAGAAGTTGGAAGAAAATGGAAAGGATGAATAATATGAAAACACACACACACACACACGGAAACATTCATCTTCAAACCTGCATGTGTTCTCTCAGTATGATGGCCTCTAGGATATTCCAATTTAAAACCAAAGGTGCTGGTTCAGCTCCTATGGTGGGTGTTTGAATGCAATGAGCCTATTGTGCTCCCAAGTTCCATGACGCAGTGTCTGAAATAGCCCAGCAATTGCCTCCATTCCATAATCCTCACAGAAAACACATTTGCATATTTTTGTGTGGGGGCACCAGTGGCTCATCCCAGCAGTCGGTCCCTGTTGGGATTGGGGGTGGGCGGGAGTGACAATCCCTGGCTTGTGTGCGGGGGCTGAGGGAGCTCCTACTCACCCTTTCCTGTTTTTCTTTCAATGCTCTCCTCAGGTTGGGTGGGCTCAAAACACTTTCAAAAATTTTCCACCGCTTGGCTGTTTCCTCAGCTGTTCTGTCTCTCCTGTGTGGAGAGAAGTCAGCAGAGCTGTGGGTGGAGGAGGGAAAACTGAGAGAAATATAGTACAGGCATTAGCTGTGTGGGCTGTACAGAGAGAAGCTTTGCATGGAATGACAAATCTGTGAGACTCAATATGCCACACAAGTCGGTGACAGAGACTGTGGGCAGGGAGACCCTTGGGGATATGGGGTGTTGGGCTCTGGATGCTGGGCCTGTGAGCTCACACTCCTCCTGCTTCCCGGGTGGGG